TTTTTTAATCAGGTGGTTTTTTAACTTTAGCTAAGAATCAAGTATAAATGCGACTGAATTTTCTCACAATGCATGGGTCCTGGCCTTTCTAAATATTTCACAAAAAGTTCAGATTTTCTTTTTTTCAGGACAATGGAAGCTATTTTCATAGTGCATTCTACAAACAAACACAAAACAAGCATAAACAGTTAAAGGCAAGCCTTTTATCTCAGGGGTTCCTGTTTAATTCTACTTAAGTGCACAGAGACTTTAAATGCTCCTTCATATGGATTAATCATTCTTTTCACGGCCTAATCATTTACAGTATTTCAGGATAATAATCTTTAATCCTTCTCAGATTAGAAATAAATTCACTGTCAGCTATCTTCTCTGTCTAAATAAAGAAGCATGGTACAGTATGTACAGTATAATGATACTCCAGTCATTTTCAAGTTTCTAAGGATGTGAACATGACAATATGATAAGGGTTTTGGAATGAAGTGGTGATGTTGTGGAGGTCCAGTGTGCTTGTGTGTGTAAGTGCCTTGTGTGTAGCAGTCACATTCCAGGGTGTGGTCCCACCTTCAGTCCTGTCCTTCAGGGATGGGCTCTGGGTTGCTGTGACCCTTACCAGTATTAAGTGATTTTCTGTTAGTGAAAAGATGAATGATCTAGTTATATTTACAGCAGAGAGCTGGTGAATCCTATGTTGAATTTGTCAGTCTAACAGCCTCTTATTATTAAACGTTTAAGTACAAATCTGAATGTTGAACTTCTGTACTGTTTTCTTTCTATTGATATTTGTGGTAACCTAAGCTTCACTTGAGACAGCAGTATTCATCATTGGAGAACATTATAAGTTTTATTCATAGCATCTTCATTAACATAAATCAAATGTTAATTTTCCAAGAATAGATGTGCAAAGTGTGCACATGCATACAAAAAGTAAGGACACACGTTGTGACAAAGAAACATCAGCCTGATTGTTTTTGAGGAAGACATGATTATAAAATCAAGTGAACAAGTTCAGAAAAATAAAAACTGAGTTCTATTGTCATATTTCCACATTGTAAGAGTAAGTACAAAAGTCTGTTACTATCTGACATGAGTCTTGAACTCTCTCACATTTCAAGTAAGAGAGTAAGCGATCCCTTTAATGTCATACAGAACACTAAACAAAAGGACCAGCCATTGCTCAGCTTTCACAGATATTTCCTGAAAAATAGAAAAAAAAAGAAAAATATTTTGACATTCGATCTTGTAAATGTGGTTTTCTATTTACTGTTCAAACACGATTTACTATCCAGCAAAGGTCAGTAAATGTTTATGAGGTTTCTTACAGTATATCCTCTATTTTCAATCATATGTGTGATTAAGTAAGACGTACTGTACTATGTGACTATGTGATAGCTGTGATATGCAGTTTTGTAAGGGCAGTCATGGGGCTCCCAGGCCCTACAAAGCACTAAAAGCACTCACTTAGAGTGCCGATAAGCCTTGTAGACTAGATGTCACTGGTTTGAGATGGGTCTATGTCATCAGCCAGCTATAACTAGGATTTCCATACAGCTGTCCAAGTGCTGCCGGGTAGGGTGGCCTTACGATGTCTGGAATTTACTTGGCTTGCCTTGTAATAGCAACTCCTGGAACCTGCCAGGAACCTGTAGAAGCCTTTAGACTTGCAGAAGGTTATCTCTGTGTGAGACACACCACTTCTCCAAACGGTAGTAACTCTCCTGTAATGCACTGAGGAGCTTGTAGTGTACAGTATGTCAGAGGAGTGCATGCACAGGTCAACATTCACCCCTTGTGGTTTGGGGGTACATTTACAAATGGAGGTTTCACAATGTGTGGGTGTGAAATGAACATTATTGGCAATTCAGAATATAAGCAATTGCTTATTCAGTTTAGTTGCCCACGGAGCAAACTACCCTTTAATAAGCCTGCCTGCCAACAAACACTGTATGCTCTCAATCTTATTGAAAGATCTACTTCTTTAGTTTTATGGTACTGTTTATGCGCTGTAAGCTGAGACACTTGCATTAATGCAGTTATTGCTTCTTTCAGATTATAACACAATACTTCAGTTTAACACAATCTATGATAATACAACATCATAAATTGAATGGAAAACTTTGAGTAACCTATGGAAAAAAAATATATCATTGTTCATGTTCCTATTTTGTTACAGCAAAACAAATCAATTAGAGGACAGGGAAATACAATGATTTGGCTGAAAAAAATATGTAATTACAGTACCTGCAGTGGATATTTGTTCAACTTACATAAATAGTTCTGTAGACTAGCATTCTGACAATAGATGTGGATAAGAGAAGTTGCTCTGAAAATACAGTACCACACAGCTCATCAAAACAAAATTCCCAGAACAATTAATTAAAGATCTATGTTTTAATTATTAAACACACAAATACTGTAGTATTATGTACAGTACTTCACAAGGTATCTATTTCTTATTCTGTTTTTTTATAATTATAAATGTGTTATGGTGCTGTTGGGGTGTAAATAATGACTGGTTTGTTTCCAGTGTTGAATTTTGAGATTCCTTGTGCTTTCCAGGGGATGTGGTGCATTACACAGTCTGACGTGGACAGGCGGCTATGTGGAGAGTGTTAAGTCACAGGGAGAGAGAAAGGCAGACCTTGATCTTTCTCTGGTTCTCAGGAATGCCGTGCAAGTCAGCTGCTGAAGCACTGAACTGACCTGACAGATGGGGGCTGGGAGGAGCAGGCAGCCGGAACACTGCCCTGTCTCCTCCAGCAGCAGCTGCACTTTTTCACTGATTCTGTGTGTGGAGCTGAGCCTTCGACTAAATGAGAACCGAATGTTCAGAAAAGTTAAAACTGGGCACTTCACATATCCTGACTGTACTCTTTCCCCACAATGATCTATACTGAATCAAAAACCTTTGTGGAAGAAGAAAAACAACGAAGAAGCTAAGGCAACATTCTGATCAAAGAGCATGTGGAAAGACCCCAAACTGCATGAGTACACTTGTCTCTTTTGGTGAATTATGAGAATGTTATTAAGTAATAACCTTAAACCACAGAGAGCATGTGAAGTTCCATACTTAAGGAAAGTGATCCCAGCTGGTAAATGCAATAAATTACATTGCATATGAAATATCTGAAGCTGTCCTCTTAAAGAAGAATAGAAAACATTATGGGCTAGTGCCAAACGATATTTGATAAGTATAGAAATAATCATAGACATACAGTATTGGTCTTCCTCCTTCTGCTTAAACACAGATTTATAAATTAGGTTAAAAATCATAGAAACATAATTAGTGGCACAATGGTGTGGTTGTTCATGCTGCTACGTCACAGCTCTTGGGTTCAACTTTTATGAGGAATGTTCATGTTATTTCATATGGGAGGCCTAGTTTTGCTCCAGTTTCTTTCGACTGGCAGGCTATGTTAATTGGTGTCTCTAAATTACCCCTGTGTGCTTATTAATTAATTAATTTAATTGCTTACACTTATATTTCTGGACACTCCACTCAAAGTGCTTTACAGGTAATGGGGACTCCTCTGCAACACCACCAATGTGCAGCATCCACCTGGATGATGTAACAGCAGCCAGTACACTCACCACACATCAGGAGAGCAGAGTAATGAAGCCAAATCATAGATGGGGATAATTAGGTAAGGGCCAATGGAAAATTTGACCAGGATGTGGGGGTTACACTCCTACTCTTTTAGAGAAACGCCCTGGGATTTTTAATGGCCTCTGAGAGTCAGGACCTCGGTTTAACATCTCATCTGAAGCACAGTGCCTATTTACAGTATAGTGTCCCGGTCACTATACTGGGGCATTAGGACCCACATGGACCAGAGGGTGAGCGCCACCTGCTGGCCCCACTAACACCTCTTCCAGCAGCAACCTAAGCTTTTCCCAGGAGGTCTCTCATCCAGGTACTGACCAGGCTCACACCTGCTTAGTTTCAGTGGGTTGCCAGTTGTGAGTTGCAGAGTGATATGGCTGCTGGCATATGTGGCTTATGTGTGTATCCTATGATGGACTGGTGCACCCTACAGGGTGTAGTCCTACCTTGCTTCCAGCATAGGCTCCTAGTTAAAATTTACCTCTGTGTTTTTGGTGCATAAAATTACTGCTTTCATCTCATTTGTCAGTCTTGTGCTAACTTAATGTAAAAATATAAAACAAACATTTTCAGTTGGTGACCAATATTTACAAGATTAATAAAGTTCAAGACATTCTTTATTTAAAGAGACAGTGAAGAGGAAGATATGATAACATATGCAAAGCTGAAATTTACTGTACATTGAAATATCAGGACATTATCAGGAGTCAAAGCAGTTTTTGATGTACCGCTGTTCTTCAGAAATCAACATAGTTCTTAAGAAATTAACATAGAATGCTTTAATAAGATCATTTAGTAGTGTGCTTAATAAATTAAGCTTCTTATCCTCAAGCAGCAAAGGGTACTCTTGCAATGGTTGCTTAAAAATACTGATGTCCAAAGTATCCTCTAAGATAAAACTCAGTGGAACTTGTAATTAAATTGTAATTTAAACCTGATCACTACTGTATTGAAGTCTGTAATGGAACTCTTTTGAAACCCTGTGGTACAAAAGATTGAGCAAATGGAAACCTTAACAGTTTCGTTTGATTATTCATTTAAATTAGTTTAAATGACATCTTGAAAGTGTTTGTACACAAAGCTAACCCTTTTGGCATTTGTAACCTCTCAACTCTAATTTTATTTTATCATTTATATCTTATACTTTATATGCCCAACTGCTCAGTAGATTGTCAGAAAAAGCTCAAATAAAACATATGCCATTTCAAAAATTATTTTTCTTCTCCTCACCCAAGGTGGTAATTTCACAAACTGAGATTACCAATTCTGTTAGACTTACATGCCTAGACAACCCTTAATAGTCCAGGATTAGTGATAATTAGTGTCTGTGAGATCACTGAAAGGCATACAAAGGCAAAATATTTGTCACTCTTACAACAGTATGTCTTCTTTTTTACAGAAGCCGGTGTCTGTAAATCCCATGTCTGGAGATGAGCTCAGCAGCAGCCCACTTCCTCAGGGGTGGAAGTGCTACATGTCGCCACAAGGCCGCAGGTACTATGTCAACACATTAACCAATGGTAAGTGGGTGTTTCTGCAAGAGCTTCACCAACCCAACCTGTCAGTTTTGTGTTGGTGACAGAGGGAAAATGTTTACAATACTGTAAAGGCACCACTGATAAGGGCCTTGTTGATGTGTGCTGGGCCTTATCACTGTTTCTGACCTATTATATGGTGTTTTTTTCACTCTTCATATACTTAAAAAGATTAAAATCACTTTCCATTGACAACAGAAGGAAGATAGCATGGCCTTTTATTATAATAATTAGCAAACACATTAACCAGGGCATTTTACCAGTGTTTAGGTCTATGTAAATAAAAGGTGGTGGAGTGTTCTATTTTTAGAGGGAAACTGCCCTAACATTGTCACTGCACAAAATATACAGAAAATTGTTCACGCTAAGAAGTAATTCTATCAATAGGGAAGTAACTGATGTACTAAATGAATAAACTTACAGTATCATAGGTCTTTGTTAAGGTAGAAGTCAACAAAAGGCCTAAGCAGCAGAAGGACAAAGTTCTCTATTAAATAGTATTGGTGTGGAAGAAGAAATCGTGTTTCGGGTAGTAGAAGCACTCAGAATTAATACATCTTAACAATTGCGCTCAAGGAAACAAGATGATCCAGAAATCATTGACTTAATCACTCTTCCAACAGTTGTAAAAGACAGGTATATACCATTAGACTGGAGAATTGCTCATATAGTGCTCTGCCATTGAAAGGGAGACAAAACTGAACCAAGTAATTACAGACTGAAATACTGTATCTGACTATATCCATATAGAAATATATATATACTGTAATCTTATGGAAATAATAAGTAGAATGAAACTAGTATCTACATGGGAATCAGATACTAGGGATTAATCAGTATGAATTTAGAAAAAGAAAAGTTCTTGGATACATGCAGACCATGTGATATAGGCTGAAGAAGCAGAACCCTTTAAGTCTTGAACAGAGAAGTTTCTGAAGACACCTGATAAAGTAATCAAAATGCTCAAAGGCATTACCAAAGTCAACCCAGTGGACTTCTTTAGAATAAACAGTGAAATATATACCAGAACACAAAAGTACAAGTGTATTTAAATATGAAGAGGAACTTGAAACATTGTAGGCATATGGAACAAGCTACCCAGCTGATATCCTGGTTTCTTTCAAATAACAGCAGGATGAGATCCTTGGATCAGTTAGTTACTAACTAACAGATGAGCTAGATGGCTTTGTTACACAGCTGTTAATGCAGGACACAATATTCTACTATCAGTAACAGACCCAGCTCTATGATATCACTGTCATGTGGTTGAAATAAAAAAATATATATATCTCACATCCTGGAAACTGAAACAGATAGACATAGTAATTATACATTTCCTGTACACCATATGTTTGATATATATAAATTATAAATAAGTGTATGGTATATAAATATTCACTATGTTCACAATGTATCATATGGTTTACAAAATATGGACTGCAGTGGATTTAAGAAGCATAATTGACTGAAAGTATAATACTTTAATAGCCATTAAGGGGATGAAACTCCTGATCACATTAAAATACTTTTACAGACTCAAACTATTTAGTAGCAGAAAGCATCATCAACATCCAAGATATTAAAAGCTATGAGCCAGGAATTCTGAGAGCTGGGTTTTGCATCTATTTCAACACATGATATTCCTTCTACAGTAATGGAAGGATTCACCTTAGAATAAAACCTTTCATACACAAAAAATAAATAAACACAGGAATTGTCATACAGAGATTTTATAGGGATTTTCTGTATATTCCAGAGTATGACAGATGATTGTAATTTAATGTTATCTGTTCTATACGATTGTATGTTCTATCCAATGCAATGCATGTACAGTATGGAATATTATTGCTAAAGTAAAAAAGCACAACCATTATATGAATGATGCCATTTCATTTACATCATTTAGCATAAGCATTTTTTACTTTGAAAGCATCTGGAAATGATGATTAATGATACTTAAATAGGCACTTTTTCTTTTTAAAGCTATAAATGTTCCTTATAAGGTACTGTATTTAACAATTGTGATTGGTTGCTGAAATATTATTTACTTTTGTCAAAAGGCATTTGGTTATAACCCTCCTGATGCATTAAGTATGTTTTTCACCAAGGCATTTACTGTTTCTTTTCACAACATAAGAAAAAAAAACAAGTACGTTTTTCCAAATGTGAATAGTACAATGCTTTTAAAATTTATCATTTTGATTAAACACAATTTTCTGTTGATTTAATATAGAGTCTACGAGTGCCATGTGCCCTGTATAAAGATGCTTCATGTTATTTTAGCTGAATTAATTAAAAACAGATAAGGGTTTAATTTTTTTAATCTGCTTTCATTTCGAAGAGATAAGACAGCTATATACTTTTTTGTCATGTGAAGATAGGAAACATACTGATGCAGCATTTTTACAAGTTTTTACAAAAAACACACCAGTATTTTTTATATTTTTCCCCTTCTTTCAGCCTTTTCCTAAACAATTTTTTTAATGATTAGGAATATATTTCTGGGTTCAAATTTGAACTATTCAAAGGGCTATTGTCTGTCTTGAAACAGTGAAGTGCAGATATATCACCCTGGTACTGTTGGCTCTCCACAGATTTGAAGCTCAGTACCACTATCTCCTCTTGTTCAGGCATGTGTTCAACCGTCTGTATTAGACAAATATGATTTTGTATACTTTCCATTCAATAAGCTGTCTGCTGTAATACACACTTGCAATCTGAACATGACAGATTGTGACTCTTGGATACTAGAGGCTTGTAATCTTTGTGGATTATGGAATCCAGGATAGACCAGAGATTTCTGTCCTCATAAAACAACTTTCTCAGTATCTGATTTATTTTGGAAAAGACCATGCTAAAGGATGAATAGCATATTTTCAGCAGTTCTTCAAGTTGCCAAGAGACCAGTGTAATGATATAAGACTGTATTGCTTGTAAACTGGATGACTGCAGAGGTTGAAGGGCATCAAAGGAGAGCAGACCTTTTTCATTATGCTAAGGGATTGATTTAAAATTGCTATTTACACATAATATATAGGGCATCAAAAATGATTGAAAGATAGGACATGAAAATGTCTTCCAAGTTTTGAGTTACAATACAATAATAATGAAATATTCGAG